ATAAACACAAGTGTTGTTATATCTTCATTATCATAACTTCTTTTAATTTAATCAATGATCCCTGCCATAATACTCATGGTATCAGTGTTGTACGGGAAGATATCTCTGTACCATAGGTTATAATGAATAATAACTAACGAGTATGTTACAACGTATATTGAAAGTAAAATAAGGTCGGTGAGAGAGTCATGGCAGGCGGTCAGTATCGGTCCCATGGTGTAATGGTTAGCACTTTGGACTCTGAATCCAACAATCCGAGTTCGAGTCTCGGTGGGACCTGTGTTAGTTTTAGTTGATGAACTCATGATAATAATAGTTTATTAGGACATGATACGACATGGTTGTACAAGTTATTATAGTAGTTGGGTGTACATGTCAAAAGCCCCTTGTATACTGAGCATTATGGGCAGCTTAAAATTAATTAATGGAAAAGTTACAGTAAACAATTTACAATATCAAGCACAATTGAGTATTTTAAACAATGAAATTCGAACATTTCAATTTTGAAGCATTATAGTTTTACAATTTTGTAACATTACAGTGAATAATATAACAAAATGATCAATTTACTATATGTAGTGTACAATTTATTAATGAGATCAAATCAAATCAAATCAATGGTCTGTAGTGCAGTAACAGTTTATATGGTCATTAGGCGAGTTACAGTACATCTAAGAGAATGTATTGTTATATTAGTTAATGCTATAAAAACATAGTTTGATAAGGTTTCTCTAATTATACAACTAGGTTATACATTTATGAAATGTAAGTTATTCAATATTTGCATTAGATTAGATATGATAATTTATTAATCTTTGAGCATTTATTTATGGGGTCCTAAGGCTAGGGGAGTAACACAGTGAGTAATGATATTTTGAGGCAGTAGAAAGTGATGTGTTAACTATGTAGGTAAACTTAAATTAAGTACTGTGTATTTAGTTTTGGGTGAATAGGTGGTTTTTAGAAGTCTTGAATTGATATACAATGTTTCTTTGGTATTCACTGGTAATGAATTCCAAATTTTTGGGCCTTTTATATGCATTGAGTTTTTACATAGTGTGAGATGGACACTGGAAACATCAAAGAGTGATCTGTGTCTTGTGTTATGGTCGTGTGTTCTGTTAAGGTTGGTAAGGAGAAGTTTGAGGGGAGGGTTTATATCTGAGTTAGTGTTCTATGTATGTAGTAGGCACAATAATAAGTATGGATGCTTTGTATGGCGAGTAAGTTTAGACTTTTTAAATCCATTTTTACTGTACTAATTTCTTGGGCATATTTTTTATAGCTTCCTGATACAAAGTAATTACTATGTCCTGTTTATTGCTTTGGAGATATTTTAAGTAATGTGTGCAGATGCATAATTTTATAAGTAGGTTACTGAATACACTAAGAGAGTTTAACTGTTTGAGATAATGAATATCCAAGGTGCCTCTTAACTGAAAATCTTTTGATAATGTAGATTATTATTATTATTATAATCAAGGGGGAAGCGCTAAACCCGGAGGATTATACAGCGCCTGGGGGGGGGGGGGATGTGGAAGGCATTCAGGCTTAATTCGGGGAACTGGAGCTCAGATCCAATTCCCTAAATCAAGAGCCCCTCACCAACATCAAGGAACCTTCCTTGAGGGGTTTTGATAATGTAGAACACGATATCCTGTTTTTAAATTAGAACATTATGAAAACAAGAGGCCATGCTCTCACATACATCAAGTCCTATCATAACAGCAGACACTAACTTGTGACAGACCTATCAACATAGGTGTACCACAAGGTAGTGTTCTAGGCCCCTCTAGTATTTCTCGTCTACTTCAGCTAGGCCTTTTGTGTATCCATATGCTCTTGTGCTACCGTCTACAGGATGGATATGGGGTGCACAATAAACTAGCCACTTCGGTGGCAAAATCTAATCCACTTAACGTCATCGTACCCCTCAAGGAAGGTTCCTTGATGTTGGTGAGGGGCTCTTGATTTAGGGAATTGGATCTGTGCTCCAGTTCCCCAAATTAAGCCTGAATGCCTTCCACATCCCCCCCAGGCGCTGTATAATCCTCCGGGTTTAGCGCTTCCCCCTTGATTATAATAATAATAATTAACGTCATCGTAAATTCAGATCCAGTTGTCCTCAAAAACTGTTAGTAAGGAACTCTTAAAAATATCTACTTGAATGACAAAACCAACAAATTCACACTCAGTATTGATAAGATGGTCTAGATAGTGTTTGGGAATAAAGCTACAAATATTCAGGTAAACATGAGGATAAATAATACACACATTGAAAGACAAGACGAATGAAAATTCTTAGGCATACTGTTTGACAGTTTTTTTTTTTTTTTTTTTAAGTTTAACAGCATTATGCACCTCATACTCATCCTGTGGGGAGTGGTCAAAGAACTGCAGAGATGCATAATGGGTCCAGGGAGTGACTGAACTGCAACGTTTGATAATTGAACAAGTTACAGTGGTAATGATCTATTTACATGTTTATATTTGGTCACATTCATGAGTTATTTATGCAAACATTAATTAGGTGATTACACACACACACACAGAGGGCCAGGAACTGTGAATTGACCCCTGCAACCACAGTTAGGTCAGTACACACAGGCAAACAAAAGTGGTAATGCTTTATTTACAGTGAGCAAAGTCAGGGTATTTTTCAAGAATGGTTTGTAATACGTATACCTTTGTGGATAAAATACTTTCACATTTCTGAATAAGTTGTCTCTGAATTCATTAATTTTATCCCATTCCAGTACATAACGAAGCAAGGTGTGACAATTGTCCATCTGGCAAAGTTTACATTTCGTTTGGTCTGCATGATTATAATGCAAGACATAGAGCATTGGAAACTCAAAAATAGGTTTGACAAATATTTTTATTGGAGGCTGGATAGAGAAGGCCTGTTTCAATGTTCATTCTCTGTAATGTGCTTGTGTAGTATTAGCAGGAGAGACTATGTGACGGCATGTAGGAATGACAACTTGAGCAACACCTGCGTAAGATTTCGTTCGGATTTTTAACCCCGGAGGGTTAGCCACCCAGGATAACCCAAGAAAGTCAGTGCGTCATCGAGGACTGTCTAACTTATTTCCATTGGGGTCCTTAATCTTGTCCCCCAGGATGCGACCCACACCAGTCGACTAACACCCAGGTACCTATTTGCTGCTAGGTGAACAGGACAACAGGTGTAAGGAAACGTGTCGAAATGTTTCCACCCGCCGGAATCGAACCCGGGCCCTCCGTGTGTGAAGCGGGAGCTTTAGCCACCAGGCCACCAATGATCTCATGAAATTCAGGGATGCCCAATTAGTGATCAAAGAAGCTAATTTCTGCAGACGCAAGTACCTTGACTCATCACTAATCGGTTTCTAATACAATTAAACAAAACAAAGGCAGCTTCACTATCTCTGAAGTCTTAGCAAGAATCCTCCTGAAAACAGTAAACCCTGCCATCACATAGTCTCTCCTGTTAATACTACACAAGCACATTACAGAGAATGAACATTGAAACAGGCCTTCTCTATCCAGCCTCCTATAAAAATATTTGTCTAACCTATTTTTATGTTACCCAAGTAATAGCTTTTATATCCTTTTACTCATGTGCAAATTAATTGTTCTACCATATTGTATTAGTACTACTACTACTACAACTTGTATCACTACTACTACTACAACTTGTATCACTACTACTACTACCACTAGTATTGCACCTCACTCTGAGCCTATATATAACCTCTGTGTCCATGTACTGTTTGTAACGGCTTGACAAAGCTCCTGGAGAGCGAAACGTTGCCACAATAAAAACGTCACATTAGTTGCACTTGTGTCCTTTTACTTTACATATTGTCAGTAATTCGTTGCTGCCATCTGTGTAAGTCCCATCTCGTCTAAGCGGGTGTCCAATGCTGGATGTTTTCACCTTAGATTTGGCATAAGAAAAGAAGTATTTTGGGTTTCTTTCAATTTCATTTGTGGCTTTAAGTTCTTCATGAGACTCTTGTCTTCTGTAAGATTCCTTAAGCTAAAGTTTGATATTTGCTATTTCTCTGACCAATGCTTCTCTTCGTATTTTAGATATACTGGCTCCTCTCAGCAGCTCTGTGATTCTTTGCCTTCACCTGTACAGGGAGTGTCCCTCTCTTTCTAGGTTACATCTTCTCTTTCTTTTTCTTAAAGGAATGTGCCCTGCTCTGTGGCACTTAAAGGAAAGTGCCATAGAGTTAATTCTTTCCAGGCAAAGGTTTGGATCTGTATTGTTTAGGATATCTTCCCAGCTTGTTTCATTTAGGACATGGTTGACTTGTTTCCACTGTATGTTTTTGTTATCGAAGTTGAATTTGGTGTAGGCACCCTCATAACTGATCACATTTTGGCTGTCAGGAGCCTTGCACGTACATGTCTGTACCTCTGTTATGTTATGATCTGAGTGTGTATTGTCTTTGATATGGTTATATTCTGTATCAGATCTTCATTGTTAGAGAAGATGAGGTCCAGTGTATTTTCCAGTCTTGTTGGTTCTTATCATTTGCTGGTTTAAGGTGAATTGGTGCAGAGATTTTATAGCTCTTTGTGTGTGTGAATTTTCATCTGAGCTGCCTACTGGGGTGATCTCTGCTAAATCATTATTTGCTACATTCCTCCATTTTAGGTTTCTCAAGTTGAAATCTCCCAGTAGCAAGATGTTTCGGGCGGACGTTGGGAGTTTTTCTAAGCAGTGGTCACTTTTCCACTTTTTCTACATAAATGGTGGAGCTCTTTCTCTTTTTATCTAAATTTGCTCACACTCCTAAGCAGTGACAGTGTATGTTTTATAGACACAAATTGTGTAATGTGAAAAAATAGATTTTGACTAATTTTACTTGTATTGTGATTATGATTTATGAAATATGAATGAGAATTGGTACTGACTATGTAAATTTGTAATATAATTTTAAAACAGAACATGTTTAAATCATTGGGTAACAAATAGTTTCCAGTACTCTGTTAATACAATAGAACAACCTCCATCTATTAAGAGTAATCTAGTCTGAAAAATAGGTATTAAAATAAACTCTCATTGTATATTAACTTAAGAGTTCCATGTACAATTGATGTATACATGTATATTCAAGCTTTGTTTTCTCTCATATTATTCACTATATCTTTTACATGATCTTTGTGGGTTTAGTGCTTAATTTTCATTGTAATAATAACAATATATGTTTTACAGGTAAGAGTGTGGAGGTATTATGCCAGATGCATTACTTTAGTTCTCTGCAACTGCCATAATTTAGTTTACACAAAACAGTGGTAAGGCCTGACATAATTTTTGTTCACTTATATTTATAGTGACTTAGTTCTTTATAAGGCATTTTATTCAACTTTTAATACATAATTGTTAGAAAATCATTATTATAAAGTTATGTCAAGACACTGGTAATAATCTTTTGAAAAATAACACTATTTTCATAAATTCAAACACATTATAAAATTAGTGAAAAATATATTAATACAATAAAATAAACAATAAATGGAATCTTTATTTGGTAACGAGTCTAGCAACTGTAGAAAGATACAGCATTAAACGTGTGCATTCATCTTCACTATGTATGTTACACTATACTACAGTGGACCCCTGTGTTTCATGATTATTCTGTTCCAGAGTCTGCCGAAAGTTGGAATTCACGAATGTCAAAACCATTTTCCCCATAAGAAATAATTGTAAATCCAATTAATCCATTCCAGACACCCAAAAGTATTAACAAAAGTTAATCTTTTTATAGATTAAATATAGATTTAAATACAGAAAAGAATGAGAAATCAAGAATAAAACAATAATAACATCACACGTACCTTTATTGAAGACTTTTGTTAGTGTATGGAAGACGGGAGGAGGGAAGAGGATGGAGAAGTTACACTATTGTTTGGAAGGGGAATTTCCTTCCATAAAGAGGAATCCCCTTCCATAAAGAGAGCTCTTGCAGCTCTACCCTCTACCACCCTCTACCACCATCACAGCCACTACCACCTTCTACCACCACCACTTTCGGATTTTTCTACAAACTTTTTGTTTTATTCTATCGTGTTTCTTTTCTTCTGTACCAACGAGCTGACACTAAAAGCTATCTTTGGGCCCATGGTGGCTTATTTAGCAGTTGCAAGCCCAATAAAGAATTGATTATTTTGAAATGTATCATATGAACGTGTGTGGTGATGGTCACTCATCCACAAACAATGCCACACTGACTCCTGAATGCAGTGTGGGAGCCTTTGTGTATGCCCGGCCACTCCCAGCAGCACGGACACATTCCGTACGACGGACAAATCACGAAGGAAATCACGAACCGCGAGGCTTTATTTTGGTGAAAAAAGTTGCCAAAAGTCAAAATTCACAAAGCGCGAGGCTCGCGAAACTCGGGGGTCCACTGGACTTATTAAACCTCCTTTTATGTTGCACCATACTATGTATTATTATTTATGTTTCATTTTGTATATGTTACACTATACTGCTTAATTAATCTTGACTGTATATATATATTACACAGTACTATTAATTCTTCACTATGTATATGACATCATGCTACAGTACTGTGATTCATCATTCAATATATATGTTACACCATACTACTATTATTGAACTTTCACTATATATGTTACACGTGTGTGTATGTGTGTGTGTGTACTTTTAACACGTCAACCATTTCCCACTGAGACAGGGTAACCCAAAAAGAAAGAAAAAACTTTCATCATCATTCAACACTTTCACCATCAATCATACACAATTACTGTCTTTGCAGAGATGCTCAGATACGACAGTTTAATGTCCCTCCAAACTACCAATATCCCAACCCTCTCCTTTAAAGTGCAGGCATTGTACTTCCCATTTCCAGGACTCGAGCCCGGTTAACCCAGTTTCCCTGAATCCTTTCACAAAATATTACCCTGCTCACACTCCAGCAGCTTGTGAAATCCCAAAAAACATTCGTTTCCATTCACTCCTATCTAACATGGTTGGTAGACAGCAACCACCCAGGGAGGTACTACCGTCCTGCCAAGTGAGTGTGAGACAGAAATCTGTAATTGTTTTACATGATGGTAGAATTGCTGGTGTCTTTTTTTCTGTCTCATAAACATGCAAGATTTCAGGTATGTTTTGCTGCATTAGATCACGCTACACATGCATGTACAAGTATACATGTATATATAAACACCTCTATGGGTTTTGTTCTATTTTCTTATTAGTTCTTGTTTATTTCCTCTTATCTCCATGGGGAAGTAGGACAGAATTCTTCCTCTGTAAGCCATGTGTGTCATAAGAGGCGACTCAAATGCCGGGAGCAAGAGGTTAGTAACCCCTTCCCCTGTATACATTACTAAATTTAAAAAGAGAAACTTTTGTTTTTCTTTTTAGGTATGGTGCACACGGGAGACTGATACTTATGATGATGTACATTTCAGCCTGACTTGGACCACTAATTACTTACATGACAAGTTAACGGTCCAAGTCTCATACATGCGGGTTACTTGTGTATGACAACTACACTTCTAAGACAACCTCAGTTACTATTACTGTTACCACTACCACTAATATTTCTGCTAATAACAAAACCACTCCAGTACTACTATTAATGCTACCACAGCTACTACCATTACTACTTCAAATATCACAATATCATAGACTCTACTACAGGTCGGCCATCACTAATCCGGCAATCAGTTATCCGTTTCCATCAGTAATCTGACACTAACTTTGGCTAGCATAATTTCAAATTTCATCATTATACTGACTCAGAAATTGTGCAGGTAGTTGTACATCCACAGCAGCAAGCCAGTGGAGGAGAAAGCAGGGATGAAAATGAGGAAGATATAGCAGAAAGAGTCTCTATTGGTAGGTTAATTAAGTGTTTTCTAGCCTAACCACTCAGTAATCCAGCACACTGATGCCGGATTAGTGATGGCCGACCTATAGTATTACTGTTGTTGTGGCTATTACACTACCACTGTTATTACCACTTTCGCTAAACAAATGTCACTACCAACACTGCAGCTACCACTACTCCCATTAATTAACTGAGTTTATGGTAATATTGGATGGTGTATACAGGTACAACACAGATGTTGTGCATACCTGTATAAAAGACATGCACTCGGGCACATGCATTCACAATTTTGAGGGTTTATTGTGTGTGCCATCCAAGCAGTGTCTGGGGAAATGTATATGTAAGAGAAGTGTGTAAGTTTAAATATGTGGATGAAGACAAAAAGGGACAATGGAAGTTGAGCTGTGTTCTCTCTTATGTGTGACTATGACCATAATAAACTTTTTGATAATTACATACAGTACTAATATTTGAATCAGATAATTGTACCTAGAAGCATATTGTGGAATTAATTATTATTTAATCAAGTCTTCAAAAATGTTGACAGATTCTTGGATATCTGGATCAATTTTATAATCTACTCACTGTTGGAGGATAGATCACACCTCCCCCCCCCCACACACACACAATGCATACACCTGTATGCATGCATGCCTGCACACACATGCACACATTCACACACATACATACACATACACTTACACATTAATGCTTAGAAGTTAGGCAAAATAGACACATGTATTTTTCTCCTATTTGAAAATTTGTATTGTTATTGCCATATACTGTACTATGTGTGGCCTATTGCCATATGTCATATATGAGCTGTTGCCATGTACCATGACTGACCTCTCTCTCCTGAAGTTTACAGGCAGTGCGAGACGGACCTGGTCTCTTATTGACTGGGGCTCAAGATGACCACTTCTAACATAGGCCTCAGAAAAATCTCTCATAGTACGTATGTGAATGTGTCAAAGAACTGCATCATTCTCTTTTCTTTATTGGATTTTCCCTCATTGGAAAAATAATAAATAAGTAGAGTTTCCATGATTATAGTTTTATTACATAATAAGAGAGATTTCATGAATGAGAGATTTTTTTGAATTTTTGCCACAGTTCAGACAAATTGCCATGGACCAAAACTTATCAAAACTATCTAGTTCAAGCTTAAAGTGTTATGTTTCAGAAGGTAAGTAATGTCTGAGTCTTGCCAATAGATGAACAATATTCTGGCTGCTTGCTTTGTCACTTATAATCAGCTATAATTTTTATCAGTAATGTTACCAAGATAATTCAGCAAAATTTCAATATTAAACAGAATTGAATGGAACATGATTGTACTATAAAGTGCAAGCACAAAGTGAAAATGTGACAGGGTTGTCAAAAGAATGATGCACCATCATTTTTCTATCTAAAGACAATTATTTTTTTCTTTATTCATTTAATATAGTATACATACTATATTCTATATGCAACATTGTATCAGTCATGATTCAGAAAATCATAATAACACAATTGCAAATGAATTGCAGAATGAGTGAGGTATAGACCAGGGGATAGCACACTGGCATGTGAGCTTTAAGACTCCTTTACCACAGGTTAAAATCCCACCCATTTTGTGATTTGTATCAGTCATCTTATGTTATAGTGTCTTATATAGTGTTACAAATGATATAAGCTGCTAATTTGTTGTATAGATGAGTCTTCTGGGTGCTGCTAATTGGGAGTTCAAATGTGGGAATATTTCTCACTCTGGCTGCCAGGTGGGTCACATAAGTACTTACTCTTGTGGAATGGTGCAAAGAAAACAGCAAATGCATAGAAAATTATTTTCTTGGCTGTCACACAAATGCACTTCACATGATTAATGGAAATAAATTTCTAGCTACATACCTGTATATGCACTTTACATGGTGCATAAAAATATAACTAAATGAATAAAAATAACCAAAATGCAAGTAGTTTCCAATATAAATGAGAAATAGTTGAGTTCAAGCATAATGATAAAATAAATAAAATCTTTAAAATTTATGGATCTCTCACTTAAATTTTAAATTAGACACATCAAATAATTCTTTTAAGTAACTGGAAATGCTTAACAAAATAAGTTTGATGGCGAGTCAGGTTTACCCTGGTTAATAAAGGTTCACTTTGTGATGTCCCATTTCTATAAGTATTTCTGTAAGTGCAACATACATTCATTGCATGTGATTGGTGTGGTTCACAAAATATACTATAGGTCTTATGATGTGGAATTTAAGTCTTAATGGCCTGACTGAGTTTAGTAGAGTAATATGGGTCTGGAAGACATCTATCACATAAAGAGGCACAAATTTGATAATAAATTCTTGAGTTCTTCAGTCAGTTTTTTCCATTGGCAAGGCATGGATAACTAGTCATTAGAGGAAATAGCCAAGTCACACTGGAAATATATTATCAGCAACAGGTAAGCTAAAGTACAGAAAGTCAGCAGTGTGTGACAGCAGCAGTCAACCACATGGAAGTTCACTTAAAATAAGCTAAGGTATTTTAAAAATGAGTCACTAAGTTGAACACACGGTTTTTCAGTCAGAATTGTGCCATTTGATGAATAATTTCAGTCAGGAAGGCAATGAAAAAGAGTTACTTATGATATTAGTTCATGAGTCAAACTGACTATTCATGTTGCCACCTAAATGTTAATAAAATTGTAGGTGTGACCATAAATAATGAGAAGTTTTGGTCAAGCATTACGTAAGTATATAGTCCAACAACCAGCCAGTCAGGCAGTCTTCAAATATTGTACATTACCACATAGTCAGTCATCCAGTCAGTCAACCAGCCAGTCAGTCTGTCATCAGACAAATCAGCCACTTAGTATCAGTCTATCTACTAAGGAGGGCCAGTCAAGATGTTGGTAAGTGAAAGGGTCATTATGAATAATGAAATCTTGGTAAGTAGTAAATATTCACTGAAAAGTCAACAGCTTCAGGAGACTGGATAAGACAATCAGTTACTTTCAGCAGGTCAGTCACACAATTGAGGAATTAATCAACTATGAAGCCAAGGCAGAATTTAAATACAAATTCAAAGTGTCAGTTTGCCTTGTAATAAATAACTTCACTTAAAATTACTGCCAAATCCACTGTTCAGTTGGTATATGACTAAAAGATAAATATCATTTACAGAATCCCTTGGCAGCTTAATATTTCATAATAAATCATAATTTCAGATTTAATACTTTAGACTCATTTTATAGAGGAATCTTAGAACTTTGAAAAATATACATTGGAGGAATTTGAAAAACTTTGAAATGAGTAAAAGTATTTAGGTAAACTTGGGAGAGTTACTTAGAAACAGTATCCAGTTGTTACACATATAGTGTAACCTACCAAGCTGAATCTTTTACTGTATAAATGTATGTTAAAGGTGGCATTTATCTAACAGGTTAAACAAGGTAGTGTTTGGCCTTACTGATACTTGTATTCGAGGGAGGGAAAACATGGTAGTGGCTGGCCTTCCTGATACTGTATTTGTATATAAGGTAGGGAAACGTGGTAGTGTGTAGCTTGATATTTTTTTTTTTAAGGTTGGGAAACATAGTAGTGTATGGCCTTCATGGTGTTTGTATGTAAGAGGGGGAAGCATTGTAGTGTGGCCTTCCTGATACAAGTACTTGTATTTAACCCTTGAAGTGGCTGTCACATAGAACTACGTACATCATTGAGGCCAGGGGTCTCCTCATGTACTTCTACGTCATGAGCTCGGCTCATTTCTTTCTTTTTGTTTCTCTTTCTCTTTTACTTTCTCTTTCTGTTTTTTAATTTCTTTTTCTTTTTCTTTCTCCTTCTTTTTTCTATTTCTTTTTCTCTTTCTCTTGTTCTTTCTTTTTCTCTTTTTCTTTCTCTTGTTCTTTCTTTTTCTCTTTTTCTTTCTCTTTCTGTTTCTCTCTATCTCTCTCTCTTTTGATTAAATATCAGTCACTAAAAAGGTCACTTATTGCACAATACACATGTTAGGTAAAAGGACACAAGCGCAACTATTGTGACATTATATTTTGGCAATGTTTTGTTCTAGAGGAGCCTTGTTAAGTCATTACACAATTTACAAGGAGCAGCAGTACAATAATGTAATTTACAAAGCATTTAACAAATGTTACACTGTGCTTTATTAACACTTTTATGATGTACATTCGTATAAGTTATAACTTATTGGCCATTCAAAGGAATGCAAAAGAAGGGTTCTTGAGCCTGGAAAGTGGTTCTGCTTTCCACTTCCTTGGATCAAATCGCATTGTCTGCCATTCCCTGTGTGCTGTATAATTTTTATGAGTTTAGTACTTCCTTTACAAAATAATATTGAGGCACTGTGGGTATAATAAGAGATTATTGTTTCAACATCTGTGGGCCTAGACTGTTTAATATCTTACAAGAAAATACCAAACACACTGCCAGAACAAGTGGAGAAGTCTTCAAAAGGAAACTCAGCAAGTTCTATACTTCAGTCAAGTCTCAGATAAACCAGGCTTGATGGATATGTGGGCCTGCTGGTTGCCAGCAGCAGCAACTTGGCTGATTAGGAAGGTACTAGATAAGCTTGGCCCAGGGCCAGGTTGCAGGAGTCAGAAAACTCTCAAAACCCATCAAAGGTATATGAAAGGTAGGTTGGTTGAGGACAGTATCTTGGAGAGGCCTGCTGCAGCTGGCTACTGGTCTGCTGCAGCTGGCTACTGGTCTGTTCGCATCTTGGGTCTCTTTTGCTTTAGTTTTTTTTTTTTTTAATTTACCCGGGTAGCTATTGGGACCTCAGAAATTTTAGCAGACTTAATATTAGCATCCATGTCTTAACTCTTACTTTGGGGTGGGAGGAGGGACAACTCCAGAAGTTGTATATAGGAGGGGCTCGTGAGTGGCAAGCTAGTTGGAAGATTGGCTAGGGGACTTGGCTTGAAGCAGCAGCATATTATTATTTTTTATATTTGAGGGGCTTTGGGGAAGCTGATGGAATTTTGGATGCTGCAGCTTTCCCCTTGCCCCTCTCCCTGGGTGGGAGAATAGTGTAAGTTGCAGTATGTGTATGTACATGTGCATGAGTGAAGTACATTTTGTTACATAGGGTGCTGAATGACTTTTTTGGTCATCACTGCTCTCTTAAAGCTTATTTTCATCCTCCCAAGCTAGGCTTTTGACACTAAGTAATCCACAATTTAGTATTGGTACTGTACCATAGTATAATTCATAAATAGATTTCTGACAAATACATTACATGGTCCAGTACTAGGTTTCTCTACAATACCTTACCTATTACTAGGCTCCTTTACACAGTATTGTATCTATTATTAAGCTTCTATTAACATTACTTAATCATTACTAGACTCCTGTCCACAATAGCTGGTCCAGCACTAGACTTGTACCTATAATACTAGGGTGTGCAATGCTAGGCTCACACACTGCTCTTCAACCCTCCATGACTGGAATAACTGAAGTCTATGCAGCCAGACATGAAAGCTCAACTCCTCCTCCTGTAAGTGCAACGCTTCATACAAAGGTGAGCATTTTTTTTTTTGTTTGTTTTTCTTTTTAATTCATTATTAAAATACCTTATTGGGATTAAATTTAATGTATTTGCATTGAGCCTAGAGCAATATATTTCTTCCATGCCTATCCCCTTTTCAAAATTACCTTAAATATTACATTTCTTTGCTATATTCATAAAACTGCATAATTTTTTGTTCTTAAATATGTGATTGTTCTCCCTGAGCAGGGAGGGAAAAGTTAGTTATTGCATTACTTAGGGTGTTTGTTTCTTCAGTTTGGACATTAACATATTTGGTTAAGGCATATCTCATTCATTTGACAATGATATATTAATGTTAAGAGTTCTTAATGTCAGAGTATATTATAAACTTAATTATAAAATAAATATTTTGTGTACATGTGTGTATGTATACGTGTGTGTGTGTGCATACTATATATATTAATAGTAGAAATAAAACATAATTTTAAGGTAAATAAGCTGTTTGAGATAGAATGTATAGTTGTAGTATTATGCAGCTTGGTGGTGGTGGTGAGCGAGCTTACCCAATGTTCTGGGGTTACAGTGGCAGGAGTGCCATGCGGCCGAGCACAGCTCAGGGTGGGCAGGATCAAGGGTGGAATGGATGCCAGCCCTGGAGAGTTCCCATGGCTTGTCTCCATCAGGGTAGCAGGCGCCACTGGTGGTCATTACTGTGGTGGAGCTCTCATACACCAGCGCTTCGTTCTCACTGCTGCACACTGTGTCCATAGGTATGACCTCATTTTTGTGTAATTTAGATTTTTAAACAGTATTTTCTTAGCAGTTGGCAGATAGTAAAGTTTTGAATCTAATGATAGATAGTTCTATATTTTTAGGCCTTTTATTTTTGAAGTTTTGAATCAGGTTATCAGGTTGTCTTGAACTCGATGGTTATCAGAGACATATTTATTTTTTGTATTGGGAATTTTGCTACAGCTTTGTAAGAGAAGCTTTAGGTCAGGGTTTGTATTTGTGTTAAGCACAATAGTAAGTATGGATGTCTGGGAATAAGAGTTTAATGGCAATTCAAGTACAGCCTCTCCTCACTTAGCAACGGAGTTCTGTTCCTAAGACCACATCGGTAAATAAATTTGTCGATAAGCAAGGAGCATACTATAAGGGTAGTGGGTGTGTGTCAGCCATCTTTGATATTGTTTTAATGTCACCTTTGTACCATTTATAACAGTATGTCGTTAAGTGAGGAGAGGCTGTAATTAAATTATGTATGGAAAAAAGTCAATGGCCAGAAATATGTTTCCACTGCATCTTTTTTGAGCACACTTGTAACTTTATCTCTTATGCTCACTGTGAATGCAGATAAACTTCTTGTTCACCGCTTTTGCCTATAAATTTTCCCTCTTAACCTCACCTTCTATTCTCCAATATATATGCTTTGTAATAACACATTTTTAGTACATATATTAAAAATAGTAAACATTGTATATAGATAATAATTTTTTCTTTCAATACACTGGCTGTCTTCCACCGAGGCAGGGTGACCCATTAAAAAGAAAAAACAGTTTCACCATCATTCACACATAATCACTCTCTTTGCAATGGCGTGCAAATATGACAGTTCAGATGTCACTCCAAACAGCAAATATCCCAAACCCCTCCTTTAAAGAGCAAGCATTGTACTTCTCTTCTCCAGGACTCGAATCTGTCTAACCAATTTCCCTGGATCCCTTCACAAAGTATTACCCTGTTCACACTCCAACAGCTCGTCAAGTTCCAAAAAACATTCATCGCCATTCACTCCTATCTAATATGCTCACACATGCATGCTGCATGTCCAACCCCCTTGCACACAAAACCCCTATTACCCTCTCCCTCCATCCTTTCCTAGGACAACTCCAGCACGTCCTCCCCTCCACTACAGATTTATACACCCTCCAAGTCATCCTATTTTGCTCCATCCTCTCTAAATGACCAAGCCGCCTCAACAATCCCTCCTCAGCCCTCTGAACAATACTTTTAGTAACTCCACACCTCCTCCTGATTCCCACACTACGAATTCTCTGCATGATATTTACACCACACATTGCTCTTAGACAAGACATCTCCACTGCCTCCAGCCTCCTCCTCGCTGTAGCATTTACAACCCATGCTTCACACTCATATAAGAGTGTTGGTACCACTATACGTACTCTCAAACATTCCCTTCTTTGCCTCCATGCATAATGTTTTTTGTCTCCACAGATATCTCACTGTACCACCCACCTTTTTTTCTTCATCATTTCTATGGTTTACTTCATCCTTCATAAACCCATCCGCTGACAAGTCTACTCCCAAATATCTGAACACATTCACCTCTTCCATACTCCCTCCCTTCAATGTGATATCCATTTTTTTCTTTATCTAAGTCATTTGATGCCCTGATCACCTTACTCTTATCTATGGTAGGTAAGACACATAGGCAACAGTTAGGCAACTTTATTCCGAAACATTTTGCCTACACAGTAGGCTTCTTCAGTTGAAGTACAGAAAGTAGGCAGGAGCAGTAGAAATGCAAAAACGATGTAATCAGTCCATCATCCTTGTAGATTGGAGGTTGTCAGTCCCTCAGCCTTGATAAGAGTTCTGTTCGATAGCCTGGAGCTATCTGAAGATCAAGCGACAGTGTGGAGACTTTTATATACTGTCGGAAGGAGAGGTGCAGAGTAGTAGTAGTGAGAATGTAGCCACTGAAAGGTCACGTCCCTCTCAGATCAAACAGTTCTCACTTGAAAAAGTTGTCCAAGGAGTTTTCTCTTCTGTACCTAGATGCCATTGTGTTGCAGTGTGTGACAGAGTGAATATCAAAATGGTATACAATACCGACAGGTTGGTAGGTAAGACACACAGGGAACAGTTAGGCAACTTTATTCCGAAACGTTTCGCCTACACAGTAGGCTTCTTCAGTCAAAGTACAGAAAGTAGGCAGGAGCAGTAAAGATGTGAAGACGATGTAATCAGTCCATCACCCTTGTAGTCATAAAGAAAAATTGGATATCAAATTGGGGAGGAGGAGTATGGAAGAAGTGAATGTTTTCAGATAATTGGGAATTGACGTGTCAGCGGATGGATTTATGAAGGATGAGGTTAATCATAGAATTGATGAGGGAAAAAAGGTGAGTGGTGCGTTGAGGTATATGTGGAGTCAAAAAACGTTATCTATGGAGGCAAAGAAGGGAATGTATGAAAGTATAGTAGTACCAACACTCTTATATGGGTGTGAAGCTTGGGTGGTAAATGCAGCAGCGAGGAGACGGTTGGAGGCAGTGGAGATGTCCTGTTTAAGGGCAATGTGTGGTGTAAATATTATGCAGAAAATTCGGAGTGTGGAAATTAGGAAAAGGTGTGGAGTTAATAAAAGTATTAGTCAGAGAGCAGAAGAGGGGTTGTTGAGGTGGTTTGGTCATTTAGAGAGAATGGATCAAAGTAGAATGACATGGAAAGCATATAAATCTATAGGGGAAGGAAGGCGGGGTAGGGGTCGTCCTCGAAAGGGTTGGAGAGAGGGGGTAAAGGAGGTTTTGTGGGCAAGAGGCTTGGACTTCCAGCAAGCGTGCACGAGCGTGTTAGATAGGAGTGAATGGAGACGAATGGTACTTGGGACCTGACGATCTGTTGGAGTGTGAGCAGGGTAATATTTAGTGAAGGGATTCAGGGAAACCGGTTATTTTCATATAGTCGGACTTGAGTCCTGGAAATGGGAAGTACAATGCCTGCACTTTAAAGGAGGGGTTTGGGATATTGGCAGTTTGGAGGGATATGTTGTGTATCTTTATATGTGTATGCTTCTAAACTGTTGTATTCTGAGCACCTCTGCAAAAACAGTGATAATGTGTGAGTGTGGTGAAAGTGTTGAATGATGCTGAAAGTATTTTCTTTTTGGGGATTTTCTTTCTCTTTTTGGGTCACCCTGCCTCGGTGGGAGACGGCCGACTTGTTGAAAAAAAAAAAAATGTCTTAGCATCTTTTCTTGATCTGTCTTGAATTTTAATTGTTCTCTTCTTTTGTCTGACCTGTGTTAACAATTTGTGACTTGTGTTGATGTCAACAGGAACAGTGCTAAGTATGTGGTTGCTGTGGCTGGAGAACATGACCTCAGTTCCCCTAATAATGGACACAGACAAGTGCTACGAGTCAAAGAAATCATCTCCCACTCTGAGTTCTCCAAGGTTAACTCAAGATTCAAATTCAAGTTTATTTACACTTTGATTTTTTTTTTTTTCAATAAACCGGCTATATCCCACCAAGGCAGGGTGGCCCAAAAAGAAAAACGAAATGGATACCTGTAATTGTTTTACATGATGGTAGGATTGCTGGTGTCTTTTTTTCTGTCTCATAAACATGCAAGATTTCAGGTACGTCTTGCTACTTCTACTTACACTTAGGCCACACTACACATACATGTACAAGTGTATATATACACACCCCTCTGGGCTTTCTTCTATTTTCTTTCTAGTTCTTGTTCTTGTTTATTTCCTCTTATCTCCATGGGGAAGTGGAACAGAATTCTTCCTCCGTAAGCCATGCATGTTGTAAGAGACAACTAAAATGCCAGAAGCAAGGGCCTAGTAATCCCTTCTCCTGTATAAATTACTAAATTTAAAAAGAGAAACTTTCGTTTTTCTTGTTGGGCCACCCTGTCTTGGTGGGATATGGCCGGTTTGTTGAAAAAAAAA